TTTATTTAGGATCTGGATGATAGCAGGAGAACGTTTATGGGCGGTATCCTCTGCACTGCTTCATTTACGTACAGTATAAATTTTAACCATTGGATCTGTGTTTTACTGTTAGCACGTGCGTCCGGGTTCGTAATCGAATGAATACACGCAAAATCGATGATAGCTTGACAAAATTTATTTTATAAAAAGGAACACTGAAATATTCTGGAAATCTTCACAAAAATACTCGTAAAGTAAGTTCTTCTCACCATCACACAGCACAATCAGTAACTGCACTTCAAACTACTGAAAACGTTTCTAGAGATATTAGATTATTTCGAAGAAGGAATCGTGAAAATTGAGCAGTGCGTCGCCGGGACTCGAACTACGGATCTCTCGAATACGCGCCGAGCGTGCTGACCACTACACCACGAAGACATGCTAAGAAGGCGGGAGAAATACCTTATATACTCCCTCTTTTAAAGGGCGACTGGGGATTAGGGGACCCAATCGCCAAATCCTTGTGGTGGAGAATCATCATCCACCACCATTTTAGTTCGGGACCCACTGTAGAGACATTATAGTTTTTGGGTTTGCAGGACAGATGAAAAATGAGCAATGCCCTTTCCGGGAATCAAATCAGGGACCTATCGAATACGCACTGAGCGTGCTGACCTGTACACCCCGAAGGCATGCTATGAAAGCGGGAGAAATATCTTATACGATAAATATAACAAATGCAAAGTACATGTAAAGAGCGAAGCTCACACGAAAATAATCTCAATATTCCGAAGTCGATTCTGAACTGAAAACCTCAGAGCAGATGCAGATCGGAGAGCAGGAAGCTCTCCGGTCTGCATCCGGTGGTCGAGAAATCTCTAGTACACTCTATTTATCGAAATTACAAGAAGGCATGTGCGGTTAAAATTGCATCAAAGGGGAAGATACAGTTACATATAATAAATAAGGGATAAATTACAGTTATTCAGTTACAGTATCAATTAGTTATACAAGGATAGGACCAAAACATCACTAAAGTTTAGCGACTTTTGAAGATTTATCGCCAAATTTTGCGATAAAATGTAATCTCCATACGGTCGCTAGGTTGGCGACATCCCGCCAACCTCGCGACAGCGAGATTAGCGAGATTTTTCTTCACGCACAACTCAAATTCCAAAAAGTTATCTATTGAATTTCTATGAAATTTTCTCATTATAATTCCGCATTGCAGTCTTACTATGAAGAAATTAATATTTTATAGCATGATAAGTTCTTCAACGCAATTAATTAACTTTAGTTTTAAAAATCAGTAACAGTCCATTAATGTTTAACTATTAGATTTCTCGAGGTTTGAGAATCAAATTTAGGAAACGCTGCAGTAGAGTACATTGCAGTAGCTAGCAGAGCAAAAATATAAGCAACTATGTAATAAATGCTAACATAAACTGATATATAATAACTATTGCAAAATAACTGTAGTAAATTTCTCTTTCTCTCTTACTCTGGTATTCAGAGCACTAAATTACCCATTGAAACACATACGTGTCCTCCTAATTTAATAATTTATTTTGTTATAACAGAAAAACTGGTAAATTTTATACTTATACTTTTTGTTAAACAGTAACAACCCTCTCATTTTTTTTTATTAAATCTTTGAACTCAGCGCCGTTATAATGTCAGCACCTTCTTGAATTTATCTTGCGCAAATTTTCAGAACTTTTAAACTTTAAAATTATTAGCTCAGTTTTTCTACTTTTTCTTTTCTAGCGTTAGAAATGTTTACCGAGGAAGATATGTCTAAACATCTATGCGTTAGACACAAAGCGAATGAAAAACTGCACTATTTAACCCGAATAATGGTAATAGGAAAAGTGGAATTTCACTAGACGTACAGGAAAAGTAAAAAAATAGAAAAAGTCACTATTCTATTAAGAGTTTCTGACTAAATTCACTCATGTATTAAGAATTACAAACTTAAATAAATGGCGGCCACGTTAGGCCTAGCGCCAGTTAAACTTTTAAATTGCTGATAATTCTCTAACTATTATATACAGGTTACTTAAAGGTATAAAAATCTTAACTGGAGCATAATGTTATGTATTAATCGTTTATTTTCAAGCTTAAGTTGTTTCGATTATTATTTCACTTTTGATTTGTAATTGAAGTTCTAATTTTTTTGTTGTTTAAAGTTGGTTCTAAGTTTAAATTGTAACTTTTGTAAACTTTAAATTTTGGTTAGGTTGCTTTAAATGTTTTTTTGAGTGGAAGTTGTTTAATTTTAATTTGAGTTAGGGACTTGAGATTTTGGGTTTTTGTATCTTGTTGTTTTGACCCTTAAGGTTATTTAACTTTTAACTTTAATTATTTTTAAAGCCTTGCTGTTGCACTTTTGGTGTGTTAATTTTTTTTTCTTAACCTTAAGTAACTTAATTTGTATCCCTCTTTCTTTTAAAGTTAAACGAATACATATTTTCTGATGGCGGTAGGAAAAATTTATTGTATTGTATTTCAATTGGATAATATGTGTGTATACTTAATTGTGGTGAAGAACAATTATTACAGTGCTGACATTTTTATATGAATTATAATGTTTTGTAATTAGTAGCTTCATTTTTTAATTTCCAAAGTCATTTGTATAAACTTGGTTCAGAGATTTTTCACCCTTTTCCTCGGCTTGGATTCATTCTCGGAAACTCTATCAGCGGTTTTACTGCACCCCGAAATTCCTTCCTTCCAAACGAAAAAACACATGTGGGGGGTGAAGTGCTGGATGGATACGCCATATCGTGTTTCACGAAAAGAGGACCCTGTTTTGCTGGACTGGCGAGCATGGAGAAGTTCTGCAGCATATTTTATGGTGGGGAAAATATTCGTTGAGTTAGAAGATTTGCATTATCGACTGAGACCTCGAGCAAGGCTAGTTTCTTCCCCCACCTTGTTTTCGTCTGCAGGTCTGATGACACATTGGTGTGGCCTTGGAAGTTAAATGATGGATTAGCGAAAATAGGTTCTTCTGGTAGTCGGGAAACCCCTTCCCGTGAAGATTCTCTGTTTGGGTTGCTGTGTTTTGGCGTTCTTCCGATCATGTTCAACTTCACCAAATTTTTTCAAAAAAACGTTTCACCAGGTACTGAAGTGGCTGCGCAGTGTTTTCGGGAGGAAGACGAGGAAACCATTTTGAATAACACCTTACTTTTGAAGGAAAGGTCCAAGGGAAATTATTTTTGCTGTTTCCGATGACTTCCAAGACGCAGAGAGGGGACCAGCCGACGGCGTGCCATGGCAGACTAAGAAATTAGACAACTTGCCCGACGGACGCAGTGGTAGCACCTGAATTGCAGAATGGCCAACATCTTGGTGATGACCGGAGTCCTGCCGGACGGAAAGCCTGTCCTCCGAAAATATTTCTCATTATTAATTATGATTTGTTTTCTTTACAGAAACCTCTCCGAAGTAATTGTTCCAAGAACCAATAAATGTGCGATGTGTTCGAATGGTGTAAATGTAAAAATTGTATTGCAGGTATGTAATATTTGTTTCTTCAGAGTAAAGGTAACCTGCCGCCACCCTTGTTAAAAATGTAAATTATTCATAAAAAATTTGCTCATAAATAAACGTTAGATTGATTTTACCTACCTAGCCTTGTAATTTTTGTGTTTAATTCCTTACACTGGACCTCAAACATAGAATGGGTTTTGCTTTTACACAACGCATCCTTGAAATTTATAATTGTTTGCATATTTTGTTCTTATGTTACACTATGATAACTGCTCACATACTTAGTATGTTATTGATACAATATTGGTTGAAATGTTCTGTTATGTTACATATAACACACAGTTACCTACCTCATAATCTAATATGAACATTGACAAATGCTATTTCACAGAAATGATGTTCAGTAGTAAATATCACGTATGAATTTCTATTATGCATAATGATATAACAATAAGAATGACATAACTCACTCACGTTTGAAGCAAAAAAAAAAAAAAAATGCACCATTTAACAACATATAAGAATAGGAATAAGTAATCTTAAGAATCGACAACAGTTGCGTTGCTCCGTCGGATAGAGTTATCGTTTTGCAAACTGTTTCTCTATTGCATAGGAAGTACAGAAAACGCCAGGGCGTTAACAACCAAGATATTTCCAGTATGATTGCCCAATGAGCTGTGATGGCAGTTTGACAGCCCAAGAATGCGCGTATGATATGATGCGTCTGGTAGCACTACTCTTTCTTCATGGAATGCCGAAGTCCATTTAACAGCACGATAAACCAGATCGTTCACGGCGAGCATCTAACATGCTGTACAAAGTACCCAGGTACTACCCCTGCTTCCTGTCTTTCCGAATCACTCACTTATCAAACATATCTGAGACTTGATTATACTCCATTTGCGTTCTTTACCACCGCTGCTTCAGAAGAGGAACTATGGCAAGTGGTTAACAGGGAATGGACATCCATCCCTCAGGCAACAATCCTCACGCTTTTTACATCAGTACCTAGACGTGTTACTATCTGTATCACCATCAGCTGTGGTTCTGCAAGTTACTGAGCGTACTGTGTAGTCGCTCCTTTTATGAGCAAGTATATCATGCTGTAATAAACATAATATATTATTCACTGCGGGGTTTGTCCTTTTGCCGATTTTCATCACTTTCTGGGCGCGCGTTCATGGTGTTCACGCGTATGGCCCTTTTAGTGCCATATAGTATATATAGATGAGCAAACAGAAAAAATGTAATCAATCAATGGATAATTGTAGTAGTTTAGTTGTCAACAGCAAAGTTATGCATTAAATGTTGCATAGTTCAATCATAATTATAGTTTAATCGTAGCCATTTAATATCTTTAAGGGAAACAAACCAAACTTTTAAAGAAAACGCTTGAGTTAGAGAAAAATATTCACATCATTGCCACATCAATATATAACCAGATTAAATATACTCATTTAATTTGTTAATATTACTTATTTAAGTTTGTTACAAGATAATTTAATTCAGATAATATTTATTACCTGGATTTCGGTTAATCAACCGGCGTTGAGTTTTGCAATAATTGCAGGATTTTGACCAGCAAGAATGGTCATTGTGAAGATTTCAGTTGGACCTGAAATATAAGAATATGTAAGTGTAGTAAACTATTAAATGTCATTCAGTCAGTTGTGAGTCAATCTTTTCAATAGGATGAAAAAAATAGATACTACTTTAATAAGCTTCTGTACAAATTTTCTATCAGTATTATAGGCAAAATATATTATATACAGCAATAAACAATATACGATAATAGACTGAGGTGGTATATAACACTGATAATAATTAATTGAATAAAAACGAGGGAACATTTAAAACCCATAAGCTACTGCTGCATTTAATTTATTACATCAATATCGACATCCAATTGAATAAGTCAATAAAATTGGAATCAAATTACAATTGTTTGCCATTTCTTTCTGGGTTTAAAGTTGCTGACTTTGCTTTAAAAAAGTGCTCAAACTAAACTTTCCACAGCGCATATTTATATTTACATTGAAACATTGATGTCAAATAAAAAAAGAAAATATGAGGACACAGTAGTTACGTATTTATATCTTGAACTTAAAATTTTAGCTTTGTGTTGCGTAAAAGCATGTCAGCTTATACATTAGACATGTTTAAAAACTCAGATGTGGACACCACATGAATTCCTTGTTATTATTAACTTATACACATTTTAGTCTGCACTTCATTTAAATTTTCTTTTTCAAATGATTCTAACTTAATTAACCGATCCTTCAAGGCAAATTGAAAATAACATGAAAAGTTGCAATTTTTGATATAAAATACAGATCAGTTTTTCCGTACTGGAGTCAAACTTCTTATGATTTTATTTTTTCATAACGAGTAAAAACTTTTTTAGTTATAGGTATAGAAACAGGGAGACTGCATTAAAAGTTAAATTTCGTTATTTGCCGGAAATAATTTCTTTTACCTTTTAATTTGACGTTGTCAAATCATGAACATTTTCGTCTGTTTGAAACACTTTTCATCCGTTTGTGACTGGAGTTATACGGCTACGACAAGCGACTGCGAAAATAAAGGCTGGTTAAGGACTTTTAAGCAGGGTAAGGGGGAGTATATATTTTTCATATATATATTTCTTATTGGTTTATATGGATTTTGTCTAGTTCTTTTTTAGTTTCTTTTTATTGATATGTATATTCGTGTCGGGGAGATTTCTGTAGACAAAGGTTTCTAAAATACATTAGTATCTAGATTATTTTTATAAAAAATAATTAAAAAAATTGAAAAAAGAAAATAAAAAGTTTTATTTTAATTTAATACTTGACTTACTGCTGTTTCTCAAAGACTTCATTAGATTTCCTTTTAAAACTTAATTCTTAAATGCTAATTTCTAGGGTACCACTTTATTGGTATTTCTTTTGGACATTCTTCACTTTTACTTTTGGTTTGACTTTACCCTTGCCTGAATGAATGACGAACCCGAATTGAATGATTGGAGAGTAGGTTTGGAGGCAATTCCCCTTGATAAGTCTGTCTCCTGCCTGCTCAACAGTCATTCACTTAGGCATTTTTAATAAAATGGTTTGGATTATTTGAATTTGCTAAATTAGTGAATTCATTTTCATATATTGGTTTTGCACTTGATTTGCTTTTGCTTCTGAATTTAAATGATATTGTAGATTAGTTCGAGAATTAAATCATATGTTTAACACATTTTTTAAAATATTTTTTTATTTTTTTTGGCTTTAAATTTGCTTTTTTTAATTTTGGCTTTAAATTAGCTTTTTTACTTTTATATTCTACTTTAATTAAACTTAGGAGATTAATATAATCAATTAATCAATATGTTTAGGAAATAAATTATATATATACTTTATATATATATATAATATATATATAACTGAAAAAATGCATATATATGTAATAAGTCTTTAAAAGCTTTTCCTGCGCATAATGTTGCTAATCTATAATTTTTAAATCTTGATTACAAATTAAAATTAAAACTAAACAGGCAAAAGAAGAACATGTAAGCAAATAAGCACGTATTATTAATAGAGCAAATTAATGGTATTGCAAATTATAAATGGAGTTCATTGTAATTTTTTTTAATTAAATGTTTCTGCAAAGTTATGATTAAAATGGAGTCAAAATAATATTTGTGACATCATATAAATTAAAATACAACGGTATAACTGACTAAAAATGGAGAAAGCTGTTTTATTATGTTCAGACTCTTAGGTTCTGAAGAGGAGGTAAGGCTCTCTTGTGACAATACACTTCTTCTGGGCAAATTTATTCTGTTTCTGTAAGCTTAAAATTGTCCGAGGCACTAAATTAATAATATAAATACTTTCAGTATTTCTTAAAATTAAAACCTCCACACCTACAGAACAAATCTGACCCACGCCACCCCCCAAAAAAACATATTTAATAGTATCAGTTCTATACACGTGAATACAAGTGAAAATTTCAAATAAATATTAAAAAATATTAAAAGTATTGAACTCCTACCTTTTTTTTAATTCGATTTGATAATAAATTAAAAAAATATCGTCATTAAATACAGCCAAATTTAAGACAAAAACTACAAAATATTGTATTAATTTTTTATCAATATATTGGTGAAATTTGCAAGTGATTGTGTGGAACATTTCATATTTAATTTATTAGAGAGTGACAATAATTATGCTAATCTATTTCCAAAAAATTCTTTAGGAAAAATTTGTAAATGGATGTACGTATCTAGGTTCAATACTCCAATAAAACCTATAGCCAAGTTTTTCGAACGTCATGCAAACGCGATAGGTGTTAGGATTTCATGCATGTCCTTGCCCAAATATTTTAAACCACACAAAGTTTGGCTTTGGATCCAAGGTTTTTGAAAGAAAGTGGATAAGACAGTTTTGCAAGAGAAATATTTTATAAGAGTGCGTGTGAGTGAAATATGTGATATCATTATTTACAGATAGACATATATAGCTACCGTTTTTTTTTTTTGTTTGACATTAGTTTTTTTTTTTTTTTTTCCATCCCAAATTGACTTGCGGGATAATTGTTGGATGTAGCATGTATTAAATACTCGATAGGAGAAAATGTTTTCTTTCAAGATCTTTTTTTCGAGTTTTTTTTTCCTTGTTATGAGAAAGTACGTTTCAGCGAATCACATTTTAAACATTAAAACTTGAAGTATCATATCTAGGTATACAAAGGTAACAATTAATGTAATTTATCTATAAAATTCGTAAGCCCCATTAGATGATTCAGTGAGTTTTAATAAAGAACTTTGATAAATTATCCTGTTTTCCTCTGCATTAAAATATTTAAATTACATCTTCTGCTATTTATATCAAAGAAAAATAAAGAAAGAAAAAAATGTGAAAGGTTTCAGATTTTAATGTGTACCACCAGAGGGATTGTTAAGGTTTTCACTGCTCTCGCTGCGTTTACAAATTACCAATCTGCACCTGGACTCACTGCTGCTAACACAACATTTTAAACTTTATATTTTGAACTACTGTCTTTTCATGCCTTTTTTTGATATTATTATTATATATATCTTTCTTCGCCCTTACGCCATATAATTTAACAGTAAAATCAGAAACTTTTTAATAGCAGCACATTTTAGAATTTCCAATAGAGGTTAAATGCTGACAAAATGTTTTCTGTTATTTTGGCAGCACATTTTACAGTTTCTTCCGAATTTATCATACCAATGTTTAGTTTTGTTAGTAAGATGATATTAGCAATTTTTTCTGCATTTTTATTATTATCTTTTTGTCTTTTTAACTCTATTTATTAAACAGCACTTTCTTCGCCCTTACGTCGCATAAATTTCAGCAGCGAAGTCAAAAAATATTTATAAACAGCATATCTCTAGAATTTTCGGTAGAATGTCAAATGTTGCCTTTATTTTTATATTCCATAAATTTATTCTTTATAAATAACAGATGGCAACTTTCTTTGAAAAGTGATACGGGCACAAAAGTGAGGGTCGAGACTAATAGCATCTGGTGCTAATGAATAATTACATAAATGATTCTTTTTTTGATATCACATAAATTTTGCTTTCAGAATTAGAATTTTTTATCTAAAGGAAACTAAAACAAATTGAGTAAAATAAATTTATTTAATATAATTTTTTTTCACCTGCAAGCATTACTGGATATTTATGAAAGCAAAATGAGTTTTGACTTAAACAAAATCATACGATGCTATCCAGCGTTTTATTGTTTTCAAAATATTATTTGATTATTTATTCAATGAATGTTGCTCTTAGTTTTAATAAAGAAACTGAAATAACGTTTTAATGAAGGAGCTGATATAACGTAATTATTTTAGTTTTCTCACAAAAATAAAATAAAAATGGACTTTTTACAATAAAGCAAGATTATTTTATTCTTAGTTTTAATGAAGAAACTGATAAGACAATTAATTTAGTTCTGATTTTTTAGATTTGGATCCCATATGATTATTTTTACATCCCAAAGGACAAATGATATTAAAAAAATATATCATTTTTTGTTCTGCAGTTGGAGAAATCGCGAGTTTATGTCTCAGCTGCATAAGAAACTGACATAACTCTTTGGTTAGTTCACATATATTCCCCAGAATATACATCAAATCTTTTACATTAAGTAAGTAGCAGATAAAACCACTGAATAAGCTATTATCTGCTATCCAGCAGATAAAACCACTGAATGTTAGTAGTTCGGCCCAGGATCAAATCCCGGCTTCTTAGACGTTATTGTAACTTTTCCCCTGTGTAACAACAGTACGAGACATTTTCCTTTAGAAAATCATCTACAAAGGCATACATTTGTTTATAAAGATAGCTCTAGTCTGTTTTCCTATAATCTAATATATCGAAATTCAGATATTGCCACTTAGAAGATGCCAACCTTGTATAAGCCAGACTGCTTAGAACTGGTTTAGAAAATAAATTAGGATTATTGCGCCATTTTAGAGCTTGTTCCTGTGAGAAGAAGTTACTTTTGCATACGTTTAAAGCACGTTTTGCGATCTTTAATTTTAGTGTAATAAAAATGGATGTAACGCCTAGAAAGAGAGCAAAGATTATCGCTCTTAGCAATAAAACATTCGTGATTGTAAGAAATATTGCATCTGTGG